CCCCAAAACCCCAAAACCCCAAAACCCCAAAACCCCTATTCAAGCTGCTAGAATTGAACATTTTCTCAACTTAATCAGCATAGTAGCCAGGCCCAGGCGTGTCCTGGAGTTCATGGCCATAAAAGAGCTGCTTAAACATAAACCGAAGGGTGTTAGACCCAAACGGAACCTTCTCCAACTCCTCACTGGACTTGTAATCCTTGAAATAGCTTGTATCTGTTGCCAATGGCATAAAGAATCTGGGATTTGACTGCTGCGTGTTGATTGTAATGGATTTCAAAGGCAGATCTAGAAGATTAGTAGGTTAGCATTGCATTAGTATATAGTCAACATACTTTTATCCTTATTTCTTGACCTATTCAAAGAGTTGCTCTCCCTTCCTTCAACAGTAAACCTGTTTGTCTTTGATTTAAAATTAAATTGCTCCCTTTTCTCTTCTTGAACAGTCTGATTGAGGATAACATCGTTGCTATAATTCATGAAGAAAGATACCTATTGTCATTCCTTGTAATTGGCTTTGTATAAGCACCTGGTCCAGGTGTCTCAATATTCTTCTTATAATCAGGATTGTTAAACCTGTCAATACTTGAGCCGAAGTTATTGCTCCCTGAATTAGCCTTCATCAGCTCAATATTAGGATTACCATAAGTAGTGTGTTTGTGAAGAACAGATGAGAATTTAGGATCATTAACGTTTATATAAGTCCCTGGACCTGGTCCTAAAGTCTTGCCCAAGTACTCAAAGCTCCTATTTTCGCACACATTAAAGGGAGGGTTAAGTGCCTTTCTCTTTTTACTTAAAATCTTGCGTCTAATTTTATCAACTTTCTTCTTCTTCATTATATTTAGAGCTTCCAGGCTAGGCTCTAACTTCTCATATTGTTTAGTAAAAGGATTTTGAACAGAATTTAGCCATTGCCCTTCCCTTTTTGTACCAGTCATGAACCCGAGATCTTTGTTCAGGTAGTTATTTCCGAAATTGCTCGTCCAAGTCTAAAAGTAATTTCAAAAGAATTCTAGATCTATTTTTCCTCCTGAGAGATTTATCCGATCTCTGAAAGTATGAGAAATGATGAAGTATGCCCAAATTACTGAATAGGGATTTACTGCACATCCCATAAAATTGCTTCAGACATGAAATCCACTTACCATCGAATTCCTTTATCGAGTTTTTATGTGTATCAAATTGAGAAATTTGCTTTATTTCTAAAGGTCATCCTTCAAAATACCTTTTCTTTTACCTCTTTTCTTTGCCTTCTGGGAGGGAATTCTTTGTACCCTAGACAAGAACATGGAAGATCCCCCTGTGACATGGAAATTCTTCTTTGATTTCAAGATGGTATTATACTTCCCAGGGCCAATATCTTGCTCTTTCTGCTCATGTTCTGAAATTATGATTGAAATCTTACTTTGAAGGCCAGCTTTTGACTTGCCAAAGTGAGAATAATTAGCATGCTTGAGACTTGAGATCTGGGGGTAATATCAGCCAGGTCCTGGTCGATCCTCCCCACATCCAGTATACTTCTGCTGCTTGTTCTTCTTAATAGGAATAGAAGAGACTGTCTTCTTCTTCCTCTTGACTGGAGAATAATGCTTGGTCCTGGGTCTCATTTTCTTGTCTTTAGCCCAGTCAAGTTCTTTATAGTAATCCCCTGGCCCAACAGTTTTATTCTGAATTTCAGTGTTCTACAGGATTAGTGCTGGGATCACCCACTTTGATGTTATGATTTCGGGTCTTATTCTGAGACGTGCGTAGCTGAAGCGTACATTTATTTTAGTATTGGTTAAATTTTTAATTTTAGGATTTTGAATTATTTATACAAACTTTTGACGACTAAAAATAACCAATACGACTAGAGACTCAAAGAAACACTTTTGACCAAGACTCAGACAAAACCTATGTTTTAGAGTAGGAAGCCTTCCTCGATCTCTGAATAATTCATTAAACTTTAATTGGATAAGCCTTAAACAAGAATTAAAAAAATAATCCAGTTTGATAAAACCCTAAATTTTTGCTTAATCTAGAATTTTACTGCACTATTCTTAGCTCTTTCTGCTGAATGGGATGTCTTCAATCTCTTCTCAATAGAGGTATGGTCTATGTCATACGATCCAGGTCCAGGCATGGTGTCTAAAACACATAAAGATTATCATCATCTTCTGATCATTTTGATTGGTATTTTAATCAAAGCGATAAAATTTTAAAATCTTTCTTGAGAGCTTAATCAAAATACAATTTCAGAGAGGGAAAAAATCGTGCATGTGACAGCGAGAAAGGAGATTTTAAATATCAGTCGAGCCTTGTTTACATATTTTCATAAGTAAAATTGGAAATAAGGCATTGCAAATATTGAATAGGAGTTAAGTAGGGAGGACAGATTACAAATATAATTCACGGTAAGGGACTTAAGAAAATGAAAGAATTGATATAGAGGTAAGAAACACTTAAAGTTTAGGTCAGAGGTTGAGAAAGAGAGCTACTTGGTCAGCTTACCCATGTATAATGTAGTGCCTAACCCATATTGGTCCATCATTCTTCTGTTTAAAATAATCAATTTAAAAATAAATTAAGGGGTTTTGGGGTTTTGGGGTTTTGGGG